AAAATGAGAATATACAAGCACATATTCCATGGGAACAACCCAAATTTCAATTACCATAAGAACAGATTAATAAAAATTGTATATATGTACACAGTGGAATTCAGCCTTAAAAATGGACAGGGAGAAAAAAATCCTACCATTTGTAACAACTTGGAAAAACCCAGAGGACATTTTACTAAGTGAATGAAGACAGTCATAAAAGGACAAATACTATATGATTCCACTTATATGAAGTATCTAAAATAATTAAATACATAGAAGCAGAAAATGGAATGATGGATGCCAGAGGCTTGGGAAGGGGCTATGGTTATAAAGTTTCAATTACATAGGTGAATAAGTTTTAGAGAACTGCTCTATAAAATGGTGCCTGTAATAACAATATGTATTGTGCACTTAATATTTTGTTAGGAGGTTAGATCTCATGTTGTGTTCTTAATACACACACACACACACACACACACACACAGACTGAGACATGAGGAAACTTTTAGAGGTAATAAATGTTTATTGTCTTGATTGTGAATCATGGATATATGCATACATCCACATTCACCATGTATACATTCACATGCATATTTATATACAAAAAGTATACCCAGAAAGCTGCTTTTTAAAAAAAATAATAATAAATAATGTATTTAAAATAAATAGAATATACAAGCACATATGACATTTTACACGTAACCTCTGGAAGATTCCCACCACAATGGAATGTATGTGAAAAGAAAAATAATGTTTAACATCATTATTAATATGCACAGACCCTCAAAAGGTTTTTTAAGGGCCCCCTTGGGTCCCCATACCACACTCTGAGAACTGCCAACTTTGTAACATTTTTAAAATCTTTATGTGTGCATGCACATGCCAGTATTGGAAATCAAACTAAGGGCCTCACTTATGCTAAGCATGTCCTTATCAATAAGGTACACCACAGCCTAAATCCATTTTATTTATAGTAAACATTTAGATTATTTCAAGTTTCAGTTATTACAAATAATATTCTATGAGCATAAGTTTACACATATGCTGGTGTACATGTGCAAGAATTTCTCATGAATTTATACCTAAAACTGGAATTGCTGAATCATACGGTATATCTTCAGATTTATTACATAATGCATATGGTGCTCCCAAGGATCCCTTATGAATTCAACATCAGACAGTAGGCTACACTTGGCATCAAATATTACTTCATAGACAGCATGCAAATTTTGTCAATTATTCTAATATTCTCTTCCCAAAACTTTTTTTTTTTTTTGATGCAGGCTCTGATACAAGATCATTCATCACCTTAGCTGTACATTACTTTAGTCTTCTGAATCTGGAATCGTTCTGTCTTTTTTTATGATATTGACAGACCAGTTATTATTTTGAATGTGCCTCAGTTTTGGTTTGTGTGATTCATGATTGCTGACTATGGGCAGAAAGAACACCTCTGTGAATTGGTACCCTCAGTGCATCACATCATGTCAGTGTGTCCTATTTTGATGTCAACTTTGATCACTGAGTGGAGGTGCTACCTTTCTTAGATCACTCTTTTCCCTGACTTCTAGAACTTCACACTCTTCTCATCTTCTGCATTCATGGGTCACTCTTTAGTGACCTTTGCTAGACCCTCTTCTAATTTACAACTTCTAAATATTGGAGTGTCTCAGAAACAAATTTTTTCTTCCTTCTTGACTCCACTCATATCCAACAAGATCTCATCTAGTTTCATGGCTTTACATACTGATGATTCTCAAATTTTTATCTCTAGTCCTGGCCTCTCCCTTAAATTCCAGACTCATATATTAAATTGCCTAATTAGTATCTCCATATTTTGATATCTAATAGGTATCTCACAAAAAGCATATTTAAAAAGTAAATTCTGGGTTTCCTATCCTGGTGAATGACATCTTTATTCTCCCATATTCTAATAATATCAGATCATCCATGACTACTCTTTTTTATTAAATATAATTTTTTAAAAATTTTGATTCTTGTTAAGTTACTGAAGCCGACCTTGAACTTGCAATCCTCCTGCCTCAGCCTCCTGAGTTGCTGGGATTATAGGCATGTGCCACCATGCTAAATATGACTTTTTTATTTGTTTTAATTAGTTATACATGACAGAAGAATGCATTTTGACACATCTTACATAAATGGAATATAGCTAAATATGATTTTAATTGAACCTGTTCAGTATAATTCTGTGTTTTCTGTTTTCTAATGTTCTGTTTACTATCCATGCTTGTCGGCTTTTCTTTCAAAGTGTATTCTGAATCCAACTATTTTTCAACCTTTTCAATAATATGATTATATTCTAAGATTCCAGTTCACCATTATCTTTTATCTTTTTTGTTCATTTATTTTATATTGATACAGTTCATTTCCAGCACCCAGAAGACTCACTTATGCTCTCTCTTAGTCAAAACCTTACCTACTCAACACCCCCAAAGGTATTCACTATTCTATCATCTAGATTAGTTTTTATATTTTCAAACTTAATATAAAGGGAATCATATATTCTGGTTTCCTTTGTCTAACATTTTTTGCAATGAGATTTATCAATTTTGCTGCATATAACAATAATTCTTTTTATTTCTGTGTATAGTATTTTCCCCCCCTACAAATATGCCACATTTTAAAAATCTATTCTTCTATTGGGCAGTTAGACTGTTTCCATTTTTGCCTTTCTATGAAAGATGCTGTGGTACATATTCTAGTGCATATCATTTGGTGGTCATACTCATTTATCTTGGACATAGACCTAGGTGTGGAATTGTTAGGTCATGGGATATACACGAAGCAATTTTTCAAAGTTATTTAGGTTCACAACAACAATGTTGAATTTTAGTTGCTTCACATCTTTACCATTGTCTGGCATTGTCAGTCCTTTTGATTTTGGCAATATGAGTAGAGGTGTAATAATGATGGTTTTAATTTGCATTTTTCTGACAATAATATTTAGCAACTTTTCATATGTTTATTATCCACTTTTATATCCATCTTTGTGAAGTGCCTCTTGAGAGCCATTTTTAAAATTAGGTTGTCAATCTTTCTATTACTCATTTTTACATATGCTAGATATTATTTTTCTCACATATTTTTTCTACTCCCTGAATTGTCCTTTTCAGTTTTAGTTTTGTCTTTTGATGAATGGAGATTTTTTTCTTTCTTTTTTCCCCCCATGGTGCTAAGGATGATAAAACACAGGGCCTCATACTTGCTAGGCAAGTGCTCTACCACTGAACCCCAGCCCAGAAATGTTTTCTTTTAATGAAGTTATATGCCATTCTTTTCCTTTATAATTAATGCTTTTGTACCCTATTTAATTAATTCTTTGCCTAACCCAAGTTTTGATGATTTTCCCCTTGTGTTATTCTAGATGTTTGGTGTTTTTGTTTTCATGTTAATTTTATTATCTAGTGTGAGTTAGGGGTCAAGTCTCACTGTTTTCCATGTGGATAAGACTTCCTACAGTTAACATTGATTTCTGCATAAACTTCACTATACTTGGAGAACATATTCTGCATCTTTTACCCATCTGCTGTAATCAACTGGTTCCTTAATTCTACTCTTGCCCCACTCACAGGATAGTCAGAGCAGTTCCATGTCACTCCCCATTCAGGGACTCCCCTTCATACCTAGAATAAGTTCGATTCATTTTCATGTCTGCAGAGTCCTACTCAGTCTTCTTGCTGCTCCTTCTCTAACCTAATCTCTCTCTACTCTCCCTTTTGCTCACTCAGTTTACTGACTCCTTCCCATTCCTCAGACACACTAACATATTCCTATTTCAGAATCTTTACACTTGTTACACTCTATAGTTGCAAGGTTCTTTCCTCAGATCTTCGTAGACTTCTGCCTTTGCCTCATTTGGGAGCTCTGTGTAAATGTCATCTCCTTGAAGAGGACTTTTGGTCCACCTCAGTTTCCTTACCCTTACACTTTTTACTGTCTGATGTTATCTGTGTATTTGTTTGTCAACTTTCTGTCTCTCCCTCTAGGAAAAAATCTCCGTGAGCTTGGAAACTGCTTTTTCACTGTTCTATTGCGAAGGCTTAGAACAGTGCATAACTTGTAGTAAGTGCTCAATAACTTTTGTGAAATGAATTAGATATTCCTTATCTCAAAAAAAATCTCAATTTAAGGATAAGAGTAAAATTAAGAAGCACTCTAACACAGAAATCTACAAAATCTTTTAGAAATTGGGGAGGGCTCTACTTGAGTAGGGCATGATCAGAGAAGGCCTCAGTATGGAGGCAGCCCTGGATTGAGGGCTGAAAATTTAGTGTTATGTATGCTTAACCAAGAATAATAGAGAGCTTAATATGTAGAACTATTGGAACACAAAGATGGGTGACAGGAAATGACATCAAACATAATGGGGGGGGGGGCAAGATAGGGGCAAAGACACAAAAGCCTTTGAAAATCATGATAAAGAATTTAAACTTCTCAAAGGTATTAAGGAGCAAAGGATTTTAAGGTAAAGACACGTGCTGTCAGATTTATATTTCCATGTGTTTCACTGTTCCTTGCTACAATAATCATATTAAAACTTCAAGTTGATTGATGTAGACTTGGTCATCAGTACTCAGTTTCAAAACAGAGTCCTTATCCCATCTCACTGCATCACCTGGCGAAGCCATCATTTTCTCTTCTGAGCCTTGTATCTTCATTCTCAGCAAGAAAAGATTGTGCATTCCTTAGAGCCATTCTAACCCAGACGCTATGGTTCTGATCATGTACCTCAACTTGGACTTAGGTCACAATGCTTCTCTAAGATACCTGGGGAGAAATTTTTAATATTTTTGCTGCTAGAAATAATTTTAAACCTTCAATTCTAGCCAATTAAAATTCAGTTTTCTTCTGAATTTTTTTAAACTTTTGGGTCAAATGACAGGAAACTAGTTCCCTAGTGCAAAACTACCTGAGCAAAAGTGCAAATTCTTTTTTCCTTGTCTGGGATGGGAATGCAGGCAAAGGAGGGCGTGATAGAATGAGTCTTTTTCTTGCAGTTGTGATTCCAAAGAATCCCTTCCCTGCGTCTGATGTGAACACTGAGAAGCCCAGCATCCACAGCAGCACCAAAACTGTCTTGGAGCATCAACCAGGGCAGAGGGGGCGTAAACCAGGAAAGAAGCGGGGTCGAACACCCAAGACCCTTATTTCCCATCCCATCTCTACCCCATCCAAGTCAGCTGAATCTTTGAAATTCCCAAAGAAGAGGGGTCCCAAACCTGGCAGTAAGGTAGGTAAAAATGTGGGATTCCCAGAAAGGGGTAAGGGGCTATAAAGGGGTAATTCATTCATACCAGTTTATCTCGGAAAGCAGCAGATCTGTTCCTATTCCCCACCTAATGTATGACTTTAAGAGGAATATCCTAAACTGTCATCTCTACTTAGCTTTTTACCTGGGAGTTGATACTATTAGAGATAGAATAGTGGAGACAAATTTTGACATTGATGAAAGTTACTCACATAAGGGGGGGATTCTATCTAGTCTTTCATAGGAGGAAGGCTCTGCTCCTTGTTAACTTTCCCAATGTAGATTCCCAGCATGTGAACAGAAAGAGCAAATTATTCTGTAAATATTTCTTTTGCTATCACTCCCCCTTCTGTAAAAAATTATTAGATACCTACTTAGTGTCAGGTTCTAAATTAGACACCATTATCTCACATCATGTAATCTTCACAAAACTCTGGAGCTTGTGTTAATGTTATTGTATTATTAAGTAAGTTGAGACTCATGTATGTGAAGTGATTTTCCTAGGTCCTAAGCAAGTACATAGCAGAGACTGTATTGATTGATACCTCAATCTTCAAATTCCAAGGTCACCACTGCCCTATCATGTATTTACTCTCTACATTTCCTAAGGGACTTAACACCTCTAGTGTTGGAAAAAGTTACTAAATCAAGGTCCTCTGAGTACTATTATTGGAAGTACTAACTCTTAGACATGCCAGTTCTTCATGGATATCTTCCCTAGGGAAAGCATTGATGTGAAGAGGAGGCTCTTCAGCAGCTTCTCTAGGGCCCCTCTACCATCCCCTCCTCATTACTTCCTATCAGTGGATTTCTCAGACTCTCCTTCCTGAACTAGAATATCTGAGTTCCAATGTGGAAATGATGCCCAGTTCCTCCTGGGCAATCCATTTCAGTCTCATATTCTTCCCTAGGGCTAGTTAGTTGATTTATTTGTTTTATTTGTTTAGTAGATTAGTAGCTCCAACTAACTTCAGTCCTTATAGAATATAAGCTCTTCAAAGTCCTCAATAATCTAATCTTTTTCTTTTCTTTTTCTTCTGCAGTGCCTTGTATCTCAGTCTCTTGGGAGATGTTCAGTATGTGCAGAATGGATGGATAGATGGATGGTTGGATGGATGGATCAATGGATGGATGGATAATTTAAAATGATGATGTTACCAATCTCAGTTGTCTCCTACTAATTGGCTTTAAACATTCAATGTCACTTCCTAATCTTCCTATATAACATATGATATATCTGAGCTATTACCACTAACCCCTAACCCAGGTCCTGATTTATTTTTATCTCTATTATATTCTTCTTTCTCATGTTGTGGAGAAAAGGCTGAAGGCCCTAGGGATGCCAAAGTCAGAGAAGCCATAGTTTTGATGATGTGAACACATTGTAAAGATTGTCAAAGAGGAAGAAAACTATCTGTGGGACTCCAAAGACTGAAACAATAAGCAGAAACTTAAGCAGAAGGTCTTTGTCTCAACATAAAAGGAACAGTTAATTGTATCCCAAAATGGGACTAGAGGTGTTTTGCTAGAGACTGGTGACTTTATGAGAGGAATGTTTTCAGGGAGAGGGAATAGAAGTATTGGATGGATGGTTGACCATTAAGATACTTCAGAACCTAACTATTATGCTCTGTTCCCTCATGTAATCTTAAACATAGTGGCCAAAGTCTTCTTTCTTTCCATCCTTCTTGAAAGCAATCATTCTCATCACATTTGTATTTTATGGCCTGGCTTATGACTCCCTCATTCCCCTTCTATTCTTTTACCTACTTCTATAAGAGTATATACCACCCATTTTACCTATGAGCATAATATTCCTTTTTGAAGCAAAAAGGAAGGCTTTTAAGCCAGTCAGACTTAGGTTCAGATGTCACCTCCATTTGTGGCTACCTGTGTGACTCTGGGAAAGCATCTTTGAGTAAGGTTCTGGGCCCCAGTTTTCTCACCTATATAATAGAGATGATGTAATATGTGACAAGATAAAATACATGGAAATGCACCTATCTGAAATAGGAATCATCTTTCTGCTTTCTTCTACAACATCCAGGCACATAACTTGCTCCTTTAGGGACCCCACAAAATTCTACCAACTCATTGAAGTTTCCCTTCATTCCTGACTCATTGGTTATTTGGATATTCACTTTTAGTGATATTGGGAAATATGAGCAGACGTCCATTTCTGTTAAGGGTTTGCATGAGGGCTTTTCCAGGCAAGACCATTGTATACATGCCTACTGCCATCAGCAAACTCTCTTCAGAGAGTGTACTCCTAGCAAGCAGACAGGTTTATAAAATTCACAGTAGTTGACCCTAAATGGGGCATTTAGTAAAAGGGGATTTCTGGATCTTGGTAATGTTTGTGTTTGCATTACATTAGATACACTTTTAGAAAACTATTTCTTGGAACACCCTGACATCTTTATCCTCCAGAGATTTCCCTGAGCAGCTTAAAGAAAATATATTTCTCTCAAATCCTCTTTATTACTTCCCCTTTGTTGGTGCTTTGCACTGTGGGATCTGACATAACTTTCCTGTGTACACATATGAATATCCCACAGTGAATCTCAACATTATGTACATCCACAAAACTGGGGTCCTAATTAGGATAAGATGTATTCCATGATTTATAAATTATCATAGTAGATTCTACTGTCATATTTAACTAAAAAGAACAAATAGAATTTTTTTTAATTTTAAAAATTAAAAAAAAAACATGTGTTATATATGTCAAGCACCATGCTAGAAATGATACTCAGAATCAGACCCTCAAGCAGCTCAAGGAGGCAGTATGCAAACATATAATGACAATGACAGTGTTATTTATGTAAATGTCAATACATTGACAATTGCAACAATACAAAGTACAGAAAATAAAAAAAGTAGTAGTTAGAGGAAAACTTCCTAGATGAACCGAAATTTGCAAGGTAAATAAAAGAATAAAGGCTACTTCAGGAAGAAGAGACAACTAAATATTGAAGGTGTGGGCTAGGTACACCTTCAGGGTTTTTAGAGAAGTGTTATGATTAGGAATTGCTAGAATAGGATGTGTGAGGGAAGAGGTAGGACAGAATAGTAGTTTGTAGAGTTAGAAGTGTCATTTTTATTTTTAAAAACAGAAAGTAACAAATAATGTCAGTAGAGATTTAAGCCATAGTATGCTTTTTTCTTTTTGCTTTTAGCTGCCCAATTTCTAAAGAATCTGGGATTTCATATGATAGTATTGAAGCTAGTATAAACAAGCATTAAAATCTAGCTCTGCAGCTAGGCATAGTGGCACATGCCTGTAATCCCAGCGGCTTAGGAAGCTGAGGCAGGAGGATCACAAGCTCAAAGCCAGCCTCAGCAAAAGTGAGGTGCTAAGCAACTCAGTGAGACTCTGTCTCTAAATAAAAATACAAAATAGGGCTGGGGATGTGGATCTGTGGTCAGGTGCCCCTGAGTTCAATCCTCAGTACCAAAAAAAAAAAAAAAAAAATCTAGCTCTGCAGAACACAAAATCTTATGCATAGATACAGAAAATGTTTACTAAGCATATCTATTATATGTACAGCTTTGGGCTAGATGCTGAATGGAAAACAAAGAAAATGAAGTTCCAGCTACAAATATATTTTTGTATTATGGGTGAATTAAGTGCCAGGAGTGGAGGAAGAGAAGACAAGTTACCTATCATGGGTAGCAAACTTTTCCCCATCCATTTTGACAGAGGAAACCTCGGACTTTGCTGAGCCCACCACCCACCTCACCAACAACCAGCACCCCTGAACCGGATACCAGCACTGTTCCCCAAGATGCTGCCACCATCCCCAGCTCAGCCATGCAGGCCCCCACAGGTAAGAACAGAGAACGGGACTAGCTTTAACAAGCCTTTGGCCCCAGCATCTACACTTCCTCTTATCTTCCACCAATAGCTAGCCCCCTCTCTTTTCTAAACCTAGGTAGAATCTTTTTTAAGCGTTTTAAATTTGGCATTTGGAATAGTCTCAGAGAAACTTCATTCTGTCAGAATTATCAAAGAATCTTAGGTGAGTGTTCTGTGAACTTAAGGTTGGAGAACTTGGGCCAATTAGGGGAGATTGTGGGAAGTACCTAGAGGTCCCTGACCTAGTTTAGAATAATACTAACCTGCAGATCTGGGAGCTTCCACTTTGTAGTGATCCCTTTCATCTTCCAGAATCCTCCTAACATTCTAGTAATGCCGCAACCACTCAAATTTGTATGAAATTTTTCTGATTTTTTAAAACAATCTTGATGATGGTCAACTGTAGTATAATGTGAGTGAACTTGATTTGGGAGGCCAGCCAATGCATGTTTCTTTCAAAACAAAATCTGATGGCTGAAGAGGATGGGTAACTGGCTTATATATATCTGTTCTCATTTTATAAACTAGGAGTTATGCATATCTGCTCCCATTTTATAAACTATCTATGGAGGGAACTCTAAAAGAACTATACCTTTAAAATAGATTCACAGTTTCCCAGTGAATTAGCTATAAAGAATAGAACTCATTTTTATGTGCAAATTAGAAGGGGTGTGTGTGTGTGTGTGTGTGTGTGTGTGTGTGTAATCCTGCTCTACAAATACTTTATCTTCTTTAGAGATATTTAAGTAATTAGAGAGATCCCCATGGAAGCTGTGGGAATTAGAGTGGTCTTTCTCTTAGAAAGAGTTGAGTTTCCAAAATCCTAAAATTTAAGAGCTTAAAGAGAAGGGCCACCCACAATTTCCTCTCCAAATAACCTGTAGAATCTGACAGAGCCTGCCAGTAGCATGTATGTTCACCTGTGTTCAGTGCCTTATCACATGATTTCTCCAAATGTCATCTGCATCTAGATCCAGCCAGTTACTGGGTTTTCTTAGTCCCTAAACTCCATGTATGATGAAGTAAGGACAAATAAGGACATTGGTAATAATATTGATTATATTTTCCAACCTCCTGACATGCCCCCTAGATACCTGTATACTTGCTTGGTTTAGCCCGCCTTGTTTTAGATTCCAAGTGGGTGTCAAAGTGCCTTTTCAGTAGTATCTAGAAGACCCACAACAGCAAGAGCTTCATGACTATAATGCATACCATCTCTTGCACTCACTGGGTTAGCATCCCTCCCTTGGCCTAAAACTCGTGGCCCAGGGAAATTTAAATATGCATTTAAATTTCTTTCATGAGAATTTACCATGTGTGTCTGTGTCCTGTTCATGTCAGGCTATAACAACCATTTCTGATCACTGTGTCACAATCTCTCGATTGGACCTTGGCTCACTCTGTGTGAGCCCCAATTCATACATCTATGCTTAGGATTAGCTGAGGCTACTTTTATTGTCCCTTAATGATAACATAAAAGCTATCATAGATTTAATGTTGTGTACCACAGTATATCCTTTAATACCTTCCTTTCATTCTTCTTAACTCTGGCCCGCACAGACGATGAGAATGGAGTTCTCCTCGGTGGAATGGGCTGGCTAAGAAATAAAAGCTAAGAAAAATAGAACAATGAAAAAACCACAGGACACTGAAAATATTTTCAGAAAGCAGGGACAGGATGGGCTAGCAGATCATACAGACCAAGCTTCTACACTCTGGCAAAATGGAGCCCAAGCTTGCTTTATTTATATCAGGGGACATCAAAGGCAGGGATAAGGTTTCAAGGGCGGAGTCTTGCTTCCTGGTATCTTGAAGTCAGCAGGTTGATTGACATCTTGGCAGGTCACACCCATCTCAGGTGCTGTGTGGGATCTCTGGCAGAGCTTGAGGGGGAAGTTCACCTGCATCAGGCGATCAGTCCCTGTAAGAGTGCCACAGGAGGTTCCCAATGCCAGACTTAGGCCCTCATTAGGCTACTATGCACAACATAGTCCACACACGGCCCATGGACGGTTTGTGACACTTAACTGTACAACACTTATGAAAATTTGTTTATTTTTCGTTTTATGTTTTCTCTGCACCTATTGATTTGATCTTAGAATTTTTCTTATTGAACTTGTGAAGGTGATGGACTACATTAATTGATTTTTCAATGTTGTACCATTCTTTGGAAGTTATAATTATTCCCACTTGGTGGTGTTAGTGTATAATTCTGTTTATACATTCATAGATTTAATTTGCTAATTTTTGAGAATTCATTTTTCTTTATTCATAAGTGGTGTTTGTGGGGTTTTTGGGGGGGGCAGTGGGTAGGGGGTGCTAGGGATTGAACCCATGGCCTTGTACATGTGAAGCAAAGCACTCTACCAACTGAGCTATTACCCAGCCCCTAATTTTTTTATTTTTATCAATTTTTATCTTAGATTCATACTTTTAGTTTTGTATGAAACTGTATTCTCTCTGCAGCCTCTCATCTTTCCCTTTCCCTCTACTCCACCCCAGGATTCTGAGATTTCACCTTAGAGGCATTTTCACCTACCATCCTACACACACATTTGGTAAAATTTTCTTAAATTCTTTATTTACACATTCTAGCGTACCTGGTGTTCAGATGTTGGACCACTTAAACTGGTCCTCTAATATTCACACCCCTCTTAATTCTTTTTTTTTTTATTGCTTTTAGTTGTAGATGGACACAATACCTTTATTTTTATTTATTGAGTTTTATATGGTGCTGGGAATTGAACCCAGTGCCTCACTCGTGCTAGGCAAGTACTCTACCTCTGAGCTACAACCACAGCCCACTCCCTCTTCATTGTTATCCCTATTCTATTTGTCTTTTCATTCACAATTCTACAAGCCTTCCTCAACTATATTTTCCAAGCTTTGTACTGAGTTTCTCATTTCGGCCATCTTACTTTCTAAATTATAATTATTTAGCACTCCAGTGACATTTTCCAAAATGTGTTTGGTGGGAATACCAGTCCTGCAAAATACTCTGCATTAAAGCAATTTACATACGTTTAGGGAATTTAGTCATATACATTTTTTTTAATATTTATTTTTTTTTTAGTTTTCGGCAGACACAACATCTTTGTTTGTATGTGGTGCTGAGGATCGAACCCGGGCCGCATGCATGTCAGGCGAACGCGCTACCGCTTGAGCCACATCCCCAGCCCCTTAGTCATATACATTTAAAAAATGCTTTTACTCTACTTCTTCACATTTGGAAATTTGTATCTGCTGTCAAGAGCTCTTTTTTGCTCTCTGAATTTTTTTTAATAGACTTTATTTTTTAGGGCACTTTTAAGTTCACAGCAAAACTGAATGAAAGGTACATAAATTTCTTATATTCCCCTGTCCCCACACATGTAGCACCTCCCTTATATTCAGCAACCCCTACTGGAGTGCTTCATTTGTTATAATTGATTCACTTGCCTGACACATTATTGTCACCCAAAGTCCATGGTTCACATTAGGGTTCTCTCTTGATGTTTTACATTCTAGGCATTTTGAGAAATATATAATGACATGTATCAACTATTTACAGTATTATACAAAAGAGTTTCACTCTTTTAAAATTTCACTCCTTAAAAATCTTTGTGTTCTTCCTACTCATCCATTTCTCTTCCCTAATCCTGACAACCAGTGATATCTTTTCTGTCTCCACAGTTTTGCCTTTTCTAGAATATTATATAGTTGGAATTATACCATATGTAGCCTTTTCAGATTTATTTCTTTTTGCTTAGTAATATGCATTTGAATTTCTTTCAAGTCTTTTCATGGACTTGATTGCTCATTTTTTTTAACATTGAATAATATTATATTGTCTGGATGTACCACAATTTATATATCCATTCACCCACTGAAAGACATCTTGGTTGCTTATAAGTTTTGGCAGTTATGAATAAAGCTGCTATAAATATCCATGTGCCATGACTGTGTGTACACATAAGCTTTCAATTCTTTTGGGTAAATGCCAAGGACAGCAACTACTGAATTAGTAATAATATGTTTAGTTTTGTAAGAAATTATCAAACAGTCTTCCATTGTAGCTGTAAATTTCACCTTCCCTCCAGCAATGAATGATAGTTTCTATTGCTCACCATTCTCATCAGCATTTGGTATTGTTTATGTTCTGTACTTTGGCCATTTTAATAAGTATGTGGTGAGATCTCACAGTTGTTTTAATTTGAATTTCCCTAATGACATGATGTTGAATTATCTGCCATCTGTATATCTTCTTTGATGAGGTATCTGTTAATGTCTTTAGTTCACTTTGCAATCATTTTAACAATTAGAAAACAATTCTTAATTTGTTTTTGAGTTTTGAGAGTTCTTTGTATATTTTGGATGATTCTTTATCATATGTCTTTGAAAAATATTTTATTCCAGGATGAAAGATATTTTCTTCTTCTTCTCTTGATAGTGCCTTTCTCGTAGAGTTTTTCATGAAATCCATCTTATTAATTATTCTTCTGAAGATCATGCTTTGGGTGGTGTATCTAATCATCTAGGAATTTTGAAATTTTGCATTTTATATTTAAGTCTATTATCCATTTTAAGTTGATATTTTTAAGATAAGGTTTTGTCTAGCTATGTTTTTCAGAGAGAGGGTTGCTTGTTTGTTTTTCTTTTGGCATGTCGATGTCTGGGTGCTCCAGCACCATTTGTTGAAAAAAAACTACTGTTTTAGGCAGCTTTTTCACTGCTGTGACTTAAAGACCCAACCAGAACAACTGAAGAGGATGAAAAGCTTTTGGGGGGGCTCACAGATTCAAAGGTCTCAATCCATAGACAGCAGGCACCATTCCTCGGGGCTCAAGGTGAGGCTAAACATCATGATAGAAGAGAGTGGCAGAGGGAAGAGGCTCACATGATTATCAGAAAGCAAAGAGAGAGAGAGAGAGAGAGAGAGCTCTACTTGCAAAACACAAATATATACCCACACCTCCAAGCCCCACCTCCTCCAACCACACCCCATCTGCCTTCAGCCACCACTCAGTTAATCCCATCAAGTGAGTAATTTCACTGATTGGGGTAAGGCTTTTATAACCCAATCATATCTTCTCTGAACCTTCTTGCATTATCTCACACATGAGCTTTTGGGGGACACCTTATATCTAAATCATTTAGATTTAGATTGCCTTCACTCCTTTCTGAAAGATAAGTTGTCTATATCTGGGCATGTGTTTATTTCTGGGCTCTTTATTCTGTTTCACTGAGCTTTCTGTCTGTACTTTTGGCAGTATCATCTTATCTTGGTAATGATAGCTTTATAATAAGTGTTGGGTCAGGAAGTATCAGTCCCCCAACTTTATTCTTCTCCCTCAATACCATATTGGTTATTCTGGGTCTTTTTTTTTTTTTTTCTATTTTTGCCTCTCCATTTAAAGCTTAGGTCCACTGTGTTGACATCCACAAAATAACTTCCTGGGATTTTTATTGGGGGTTGTGTTGAATCTCTAAATCAAGTTCCCTGTCTATGAACAAGAAATAGCTCTCCATTTATTTAGTTCTTTGATTTCTTTTATCAGTTTTATAGTTTTCCTCATAGAAATCTTGTATATATTTTGTTAAATTTATATCTAATTATTTTGCTCTCCTTCTTCTTCTCCTTCTTTTCATTTTCTTTCTTCATCCCCTCTTCCTTCTCCTTTTATCTTCTTCCTGCTTCTGACACCATTATAAATGGTATTGGGTTTTGTTAAATTGATTGTTGATTGATTATGGTTCTGGGTATTGAACCCAGTAGTTCTTTACCACTGAGCAACATTCCCAACCCTTTTTTTTTAATTTTGAGATCAGGTCCTACTAAGTTGCTGAGGCTACTTAAACTTGTATCCTCCTGCCTCAGCCTCCTGAGTCCCCAAGATTATAGGCATTTGCCACTGTGCCTGGCTTAATATTATCTACTTGTTGGTTGCTGGTTCAAAGGAGAGTAATTGACCTTTTGTATATTGATCTTATATTATGTGACCTTGTTGTAATTGTTATTAGTTACAAAAGGTATTTGGCAATTCTTCCGTATTCTCTTCACAAGCAATCATATACCAGCAAAAAGGTTTTTTTCCCTTCCCAATATGTATACCTTTATTTCCTTTTCTTGTCTTACTGTATTAGCTAGGACTTCCAGTGCGGTGTGGAAAAGGAGTGGTGAGAGAGGAGGGACATCCTTGCCTTGATCCTGATCTTAGTGGGAAAGCTTCCAATTTCTCACCATTATATATGGTGTTAACTCTATGGGTTTTTTTAATGTATGTTATCTATCAAGGTGAAGAAGTTCCCCTGTATTCCTAGTTATTTGGGAATTTTTTACTGTGACTGAGTATTGGATATTCTCAAAAGCTTGATCATTTTTATGGTCATGTGATTTTTTCTTATTTAGTCTATTGATAGAATTGATCACACTAACTTTTGAAAGATGAATAAACCTTGCATATCTGGATCAATCCCACTTGGTCATGATGTATAATTCTTTTTATGCAACATTGAATTAAACTTGCTAATATTTTGTTGAGGATTTTCATTCCATGTTCATAAGAGGTACTGGTCTATAATTTTGTTATGTCTGATTTTGATATTAAAGTAACACTGACCTCATAGAATGAGTTAGAAAGTATTCACTCTGCTTTTATCTTCTAAAGAGATTGTGGCTAATTGGTATAATTTCTTCCTTAAATGTTTCGTAGAATTCATAAGTAAACCTACCTGGGCCTGGCACTTTCTATTTGTGGATATTGTGAATTATTGATTCAGATATATGATTGCTTATTTAATAAACATATGCTTGTTTAGATTGTATTTTTCTCCTCCTCTTTCTCCTTTATCCTTATTTATTTATTTATGTATTTATAAGAGGCAGTGTCTCAATACATTACTCAGGCTGGTCCTGAATTCCTGGGCTCAAACTAAGACTACAGGCACATATTATTACACCCAGCTTTGTAGTTTTATTTTTGATTGAGTTTTGCCTTTCAAGGAATTGATCCATTCATCTAGATTATCAAATTTTTGAGCATAGAGTTTTGTGCATGGTTTTCCTTTATTACTTTTTAATGACCATGTTATCTGTAGAGATGTCTCCCCTGCCACCCCAGTCACTTCTAATATTAGTAATTTGTGTAATCTCTCTTTTTCTCTTACTATGGCTAGAATCTTATCAATTTATCTATCTTTTCAAACAGGCAACTTTTGGGTTCACTTTTTTTTCTGATTTTCTTTTTCAACTTCATTGATTTCTGCTCTAATTTTTATTATTTCTTATCTTCTTCTGCCTACTTTGGATTTAATTTACTCTTCTTTTTCTAGTTTCCTAAAGTGGAAGCTTGTGTTACTGATTTTCAGATTTTTTTCTAAATATGTATTCATTGCTATACATTTCCCTTGAAGCACTGCTTCTATTTTATCTCACAAATATTGATGTTATATTCTCATTTTTATTTAATTCAAATTATTTTTTAGTTTTTTATATTTCTTTGACCCTTGTCTTTAGAACTGTGTTATTTAATCTTCATGTGTTTGAGGATTTTCCACATATCGTCTCTTATTGCTTTCTAGTTTAATTCTATTATGTCCTGAGAGAGGATATTGTAAGATTTCTAGTCTTTTAAATTTTTTAAGTATGTTTTATGGCCTAAAATATGGTCTGTCTTGATGAAGTTCCAAATGAGAAGAATATATATTCTGCTCTTGTTGGATGAAGTAGTTGATTGATGCTACCTTTGAGTTCAGTTATGTGCTGGATGTTTCTACATCTGATAGAGGAGTATTGAAGTCTCCAACTGTAACAGTGGATTCATCTATTTCTCCTTGAAGTCCTAACAGGTTTTGCCTCACATATTTTGACATTCTGTTGTTGGATGCGTACACATTAAGGATCAATACTTCTTAGAGAATTAATCTCTTTATCATTATGTCATGCTCCTCTTTCCCTGATAATTTTTCTTCCTCTGAAATTTGTTCTTTCTGAAAGGAATATAGCTACTTCTACTTTTGATAAGTTTTAGTATGGTATTAGATTTCTCCACTCATTTATTTTTAATTTATATTATTATAAATTTTCTTATATACAAATAACGTGGATCTTTTTTTATCCAGTTGAGAATCTATCTCTTTTAATTGGTGTATTTAGTCCATTGATATTTAAAGTGATCATTGATATAATTGTACTAATACCTAACACGTGTTTCTGTTTTCTATTTGTTGCCCTTCTTTTTGTTATTATTTTTGTCTTTTTCTGCACCTCCTTGAGTAAAGTTCCTTTTTATTTTCCCTTATTTCTTGGCATGATAGTTATATTTCTTTTTTACTTATTTTAGTGATTACCCTACAGTTTGCAATATATATTTACAACTAATCCAAGTCCACTTTCAAATAACACTATATTGCTTCATAGGTGTTATGAGTGAGTATTTATTTTATAATCCTAATTTCTCACTTTCATACCTTGAACTGTTTCTATTAATCATTTCATTGTACATAAGCATGTGCATACACACACACACACACACACACACACACACACATAATCAAGGATATCATTGTATTATTATTTGAGACAAACTTTTATCTATTAGATCAATGAAGAATAAACATTATTTTATCTTTATTTATTCTTCCACTTATGCTTTACCTTCCCTTTCATTTTACTTATTTATTTATATCTGTTCATTTGTTTTTGCAGTGCTGGGAATCAAACCTAGGGCCCTGCTAGGCAAATGCTATACCACTGAGCTATACCTCCAGACTAATTCTATTGAGGATTTTCCACATATCATCTGTTATTGCTTTCTAGTTTAATTCTATTATGTCCTGAGATAGGACATTGTATGATTTCTAGTCTTTTAAATTTTTTTAAAAGATTAGTCAGTCACACATCCCAGATTCAAGAGGAGGGGAATGGACCCCCCCTCTCAGTGGGTGTAGGATCAAAGAATAATGGATCATATTTTAAACAATATCATTCAACTCTTTGAACATAAATTACCTATACTTTTCTTACTTTAAAAATTAATTCTTTTACTCACAGGATTTCTCATCAAAAGCCTCTTCCCTTTACAGTATCAGGCTCAAGATCCAAGATTGCATCATCTAAATCGGGTGTGGGTGTACACAAGGCCACTTGAGTGAAGTTTCTCAGGTGCATCTCCTTGAGTGCAATTCCTCTCCATTGAATACCTGTGTACTAAAAAAAAAACAAAACAGATTATCTGCTGTTATCACATGTTCAACACACAGTGGAGGGAACAAATATAAGATAACTTCCCCTCATTCTAAAGGGATGGAAAATAAAGGCACTGGTCTGTAGAAATTCTGAAATACAACTGGGCACATGTTACCATCCCTAATCAGATTCAGTATTACCTCTTGGAAGTTGTTTTCCCTTGCTCTTTGTTTTGTCCTCTGGATCATCCTTCCATTTCCAAGAGCAAAATGAGATGAACTTCTTAACCTTCTTGCCTATAAAATGCTAGAGGCCCAAGGGATCGTTTCTGTTTTGTACCATCTCTCAACCTTCTGGCCATGCTGGCAGTACTTCTGCTAGATGGGTTCTCTTAAAAATTTGAAGGGCTTTTTTTTGACTGCTGTCCAGGTTCATTTTATGAAACAAAAGCCACAACCACAGATGTCCAAAGACATCCTTTTCTGCTTTGGTCCTTCTGTGCAGCTGCAGCTATGAAACTACCCTTAAGATTCCTAAAAATCCCATTTAAGAGAAAGAATCTGCAAGTCTTGACCTTAATATTCTTAGAGCCTTTTGGTCTCAAAGTCTATGAAGCATACACTTATATATTTCTGACACCTTAATTAAGAATTTTTTTCTGTCATTGTGGAGTTTATCTTTGGCCCTTTCTTACGAGCTAAAGTAAAGTTGTTTGCCCTCTGGAGAGTCTGGAAATGAGAAAAATTCTGTTTGTAAACTATGAAAGTCCTGGGTTTGTGTCTATGTTTAAAATTTTTAAGCTCATCTTTCATCTTACATTTTATCATAAGCAATGAGAAGTATCATGGCACTTTCATTACTTAGTTTGGAAATTCTAGCTATTTCTTTGAGCTCATCAGGAACATTTTCTATTTTTCTATATCATGGTAGGCAACAATCTTGTCAAATTTGCAGTCCCTTCCTAGCAAACATCCCCTGTCCTCCATCTTCCAATAAAATTTTCCTCACTGTCCTTTTAACTGTCACTGAAAGGCTCCTAGAGAACTTTTAGGTTTGTATTAAATGCTCTTCAAGTTTTCACTAATATTCTCTTTGTAGCACTCTGTGCATTTTTTTTTTTTTTTTTTTTTTTGGCTGTTTCAAAGCCATTGCCATGTGTTAGGCCTTTGTTACTGCAGTATCTTGTATCTTGTATCAGTCTGTTCTGATAATAATTTGTTCTTTAACAAACCACCATAAAACATCATGGCTTAAAACAGCAGTAAGAGAAGAGATGGGTGGGGAAGCTTTTCTCTGTTGTATACAGTGTCAGCTGGAATGGCTTGATGGGACAGAAGGACACACTTTCTTCACATGGTGACACATTGGTTTCAACTATTGGTTTTTCTCTACAGGATACTTTGCTTGGGCCCAGAAATTGGCACAGTGTCATTTCCACTATAGTCTATTGGTCAATGTGAAAGAGATCAATAGGAAGAATGTCAAAGAATTTGGGGTTTAAGTTTTAAAACTACTTCTAAAGTTTGTATGGTTTTACCTTTTATATTTCACCATTTAATCCATATAGAAAAATATTTTTTAAATCATCACCAGGTGTTTAGTCAGCTTTTTTGTTACTATGACCAAAAGACCTGACAGGAACAATTAAAAGGAGGAAAAGTTTAGTTTGGCATACAGTTTCAGAGGTCTCTGTCCATAAATGACTGATTACATAGCTTTGGGTGCAAAGTGAGACAGAACATCATGGCAGAAGGGCATGGCAGAAGGGCATAGCAGAGGACTGCAGCTCAGGACATGACAACAGGAAGCATGGAGAGCTCCACTCACTGAGGACAAAATACAAACCCCAAAGGTATATCCCCAGTGACCTACTTTTTCCATCTACACTCTACTTCCCTATAGTTACCACTTAGTTAATCCATGTTAGTGAATGGATTCACTAATTCTTGTATTGTCTCACACATGAGCTTTTGGGAGATGTCACATATTCATCCCATAACATTCTGCCTCTGGCCCCAAAAAGCTCATATCCATCTCATGATGAAAAATACACTTAGTCCATTTCCAAGAGCCCCAATAATCTTAACAGTTCCAGCATTATCCAAAAGTCTAAGTCCAAAACCTCATCTGAGACTCAAAACTCAAGGATATTTTCCCTTGTGAAGATCAAAAGCAAGTTGCATTTATCTAATATAACATGATATAGAATAAACATTTCCTTTCCACAAGGGAAAACTAAGGGGTGGGACCAAAGCAAAACCAAAATCCAACTGGGCAAACAAGTCCTGTAGCTCCATTTCCAGCATCTGGGATATATGGCATCCTGGTGTTCTCTCCAAAGAGTCTTTGAAGCTCTGCCCCTATAGCCTTGCTGGTTACAGCCCATCACAGGGACTCTGACCCTGCTACACTTTTTTTTTTTTTTTTGAGAGAGAGAGAGAATCTTTTTTGTAGATGGACACAACACAGTGCCTTTATTTTATTTTATTTTATGTGGCACTGAGAATCAAACCCGGGTCCCACCCGTGCTAGGCGAGCACTCTACTGCTGAGCCACAATCCCAGCCCCCCTGCTACACTTTGTCTAGCCTCCCAGGCCTTCCTTTGAAATCTTGATGGAAGCCACCGTGATCTCCTAACCTAGTATCCTGCATTCCTGCAGAACCAGCACCACAAACATGATCAATGCCAAAGTCTGCCATTATTTTAAGCAGTAGCCAGCCCTTTGGGAACTATGACTGCAGCAGCCTCTGAATGCCTGGGCAGCTAAGCACAGTGAAACAACTTCCTAGGACACACAGTGTAAGCAGAGTGCCCCCATGGTCTCTTCTCAAAGGAATTTTTACTTTACCCCTGAGCCTGAGATGGGTGTGGTCTTGCCAATTCCCGAGAATCCTGCAAGCCATCTTTCCTATTGTCTCTGGGTAAAGTATTTATTTAGTGCTTTTTTGGTTTAATTGCTTTAACAACCACAATTTGCTTAGCCCTAGTTTTACTTGTATTTTTCTGGCCAAAGTGCAAGTTTTTCAAATCTTTCATCTTTGCTTGCTACTCCTGATTATCACAGTAAACTTGGCTAAAAGCCACTGGCAATATCTGAATGCTCGGATACCTTGGAATTTCCTCCATTGATGGACTAGTACATGACCTTTAATTTGGCTTCACAAAAAGTTTCAGGACATGGGCAAAATGTATACAACTTCTTTGCCAGAATATTACATGAATGGCCTCTAGTTCAATTTCCAATAGAGTTCTCCTCCTCTGAAACCTCATGAGCCCAGTCTTTACTGTCCACAGCCCTGGCAACATTCTGGTTCTGGACACCCATAAAAATAGCCCATTAAGCTCCACTTACAATGTTCTAAAGCTTTTCAGCTTGCATAAACTTTCAAAATTCCCCCAACTGCAACAATTTGCAGCTTCAGATGCTTCTGAAACACATGGACAGGTTAATCACAGCAGTGACCCCACTTCACAGTACCATTTCTGTTTTAGTCAGCTTTTCTGTTGCTGTGACCAAAAGATCTGACAGGAACAATTAGATGAGGAAGTTTATTTTGGCTCACAGTTTCAGAGGTCTCTGTCCATAGATGGCCAGGATGAGGCAGAATATCCTGGTGGAAAGGCATGGCAGAAGAAATCTGCTCAGGACATGACAACAAGAAGCAGAGAGAGCTCTGCTCACCAGGGACAAAATATAAGTACCAAAAGCACACCCCCAGTGGCCCACCTCCTCCAGCCACAGCCTACCTCCCTACAATTACCACCTAATCACCTAGTTAATCCATATCAGTGGACTGATTGACTGATTATGTTAAGGCTCTCATAACCTAATAATTTTGCCTCTGAATATACTTGTATTATCTCACACATGAGCTTTTTGAGGATACTGCATATCTAATCTATAACACCAAGCTAGTTATATTTTTTCCTTTGTATGTTTTAATTGAGATAAAGTTTGTATTCGTGAAATGTATAATCTTAAGTGTACACTTGGATGAATTTTAATAATGTCAGCACCCCTGTAACTACAACCCTGATCAAGATGTAAGATGTTTCTGCCACCACAGAAGTCCCCTCAGGCCTCCTCCCAGTCAGTCTCTGCTCCATGTAGATTCTGATTTTTACCACTATAGATTGGTTTTCCCATTCTTGAACTGAATATGAATGAAACATGCTACGTGTACTTTTGTATTTTGTTTCTTTCATTCCAAATAATATTTCTGAGTAGCACCTATATTGTTGCACCTGTCAGTGGTTCTTTCCAGGTGATATTCTATTAAATAACTATACCACAATTTGTATATCTGTTGATAGGTATTTGGTTCTAATTTGGAGTTAATTTGAGCATTCTTATAAGTGTCTTTTCGAACCATTTGTTGTCACTTACTTTTAATACACTTACTTTTAATACTTTAATACTTATATATGTGTTTGTGTTTAAGTGGTTTTAGTAGAAGAATCACATTATTAGACATAGAAATCCTCACTTTCCTTAACATACCTCAACTGAGCCTTCTTTTATTAAGTATACTTTATATTCACTTTCAGAGTTACCATTTTGCCAATACTTAGGCCTTTGTAATTAGGGGATAAAACAGCTTGGTTTTCATCATTCCCCATTCTTGCTTGAAGGAATTCTTCTTTCTTGTATATACCAACTCAGTACTACTTCTCTTCTTTTTTTGTGTGTTTGTTTTGAGATATCTTGCTATGTGCCCAGGTGGCTCTCAAACCCCTTGGACATGTGATACTACACCTCAGCCTCCCAGGTTACTGGAATCCCAGGCAAACCACCACCCCTGGCTCTAGTTGCTACTTTTCCAATCTGCTTTCCAACTTCCAAAATGTTATTGTTGTCTCCTCTTAGAATTAGGAGAGAATAGAGTGAAATGTATATGTTCAATTTGTCTCATTTATGATTTTTTCCTTTTTCTCCTATTACCTTCCTCATCCAGCTTACCATCTTTCTATTTTCCTTTCTTTTTTTCCTCTTCATATTGCTTCTCTTTAGAGCTATACAGGTGGAGATTCCTCAGAGAGCATCAGTTCAACCCCCTCATCTTTATAGACAATGAACCTGAGACCCAAAGAGGATGGCAGTTTATCCAGCAGCCCACATAACTAGTGCCCTGACCCTTTTTGCCTTTAATAGCAAAGGAGATTTTTGCCCTCCTACCCACTCAGTGCAAGTAAGAACAGTACCCACTACTCAGTAGAAGCCTGAAAGGACATCAGGAGAGAGAATGTCATTACTGACCAAGCTGATGTAGGTCCTTCCCAGAGGCCAAGGACACAACAGCATTTAGAATGGCTTCCATCTCCTTTGCCCTGAACCCCCACACACACCAGTGCCACATGGAGGTCAGCAACCAAGAGAGTGCCCAGCAATCTTGACAGGAGAACTTCTGAGAGAAAGAATATATACATGAGTCTTATAGACCCTTTTCATATTATTTTTCTATATTTTATTTTATTCTTGATTACTCTTTTGGGGTCTGAGTATTGATGTAGAAGATAGTAAAAAAATTATAAGGCCCAGAATAGAAAACAAGGCAAGCAACCAGTGGTGTGATGATTCTATGTCCAATACCAAATATACACATATATGAGTACTCTCTTGCCATTATTACCATGGTCCCACAGCTCCTTACATAGATACAAGTTGAGAGGTGTAAAGAATTTATGAGGCAACCAAGTACAAAAAATGAAAGTTCATACATCTGGGGAAATGTTGAGGTTTTTTTGTTTTGTTTTGTTTTTGTTTTGTTTTGTTTTTCAAAACACAGAAGACAAAGTACAAATTCTGTCCTTTGGTTTTTGCTCTGGGCTATTCTTCCAGCAAGGCTGTATTCTCAGAGCCCTTGGTCATGCAATTTAGTCTGCTGGTAACTTGACCCCCACCGTTTATCCCTTGCAGTGTTTCAAACGGAAACCTGCTGAGACTCCTAGTGGGGATCAAAGCTCAGGGCATAATAAATGCAAGAGAGGGGCTGGAACTGTAGCTCAGTGGCAGAGCCCTTGCCTAGCATGTGAGAAGCACTGGGTTCTATCCTCAGCACCACATAAAAATAAAACAAATAAAATAAAGGCATTCTGTCCATCTACAACTAAGAAAAATAATTAATAAAAAAGTGGAAGAGAACACTGTGCTTTTGAATTCTCTGTGCCAGACACTCTATAAGTCTCTTGGATTTTTTGTCTCCTGTAGTTTGTATCTACTTGAACAAGAATGGCAGCCCAGGCCCTCACTTAGATAAGAAGAAGATCCAACAGCTCCCTGACCATTTTGGGCCAGCCCGTGCCTCTGTGGTATTGCAGCAGGCTGTCCAGGCATGCATCGACTGTGCTTATCACCAGAAAACTGTCTTCAGCTTCCTCAAACAGGGCCACGGTGGTGAGGTCATCTCAGGTAAGCACCCTTGGGTTAATGTGAACTCATAGCCAGGGTGCAGGCCTACTTAACTGATTTCTGACAAGGCATCCTGGTTTCTACTTGATACCCATAGGCTCTGGAAAAATGTGAAAGTGGGCTGGGGATGTGGCTCAAGCGGTAGCGCGCTCGCCTGGCATGCGTGCAGCCCGGGTTCAATCCTCAGCACCACATACAAACAAAGATGTTGTGTCCGCCGAAAACTAAAAAAAATAAATAAATATTCTCTCTCTCTCTCTCTCTCTCTCTCTCTCTCTCTCTCTCTCTCT